TTTGTATTTGTTGGTTTTGACTTTCTTTCAAGCCATATACATGCAATCGATCGATCGATCGATCAATCAATCAATCAATATCTTAGTGCCCTACCAGAGCAACCATTCTTCAAGGCCTCTCACATACATACATATATACATACATACATACATACATACATACATACATACATACATACATCTTAGTGCCCTACCAGAGCAACCATTCTTCAAGGCCTCTCATCTCTGGAATCAGTCAGAGAATATATGCAGTTCAGGGTGCAGCTGTATACTCTGTGGAGCCCTTGGTGCTCTCTGAGCTTGGTTGTATTTTGCAGACATTTCATTAACTGACTAGGTAGCATCTTCAGAGATATAAGCACTATATTTAGTCTGGTAACAAAACATCTGCGAGAAAACAATAGCAATAGCACTTAGGCTTATATACCGCTTCACAGTGCTTTTCAGCCCTCTTTAGGCAATTTACAGAGTCAGCCTATTGCCCCCAACAATCTGAGTCCTCATTTTACCAACCTCAGAAGGATGAAAGGCTTAGTCGACCTTGAGCCAGTAAGGATCGAACTGCTGGCAGTGAGCTGAATTGGCCTGCAGTACTGCATTCTAACCACTGTGCCACCACAGCTCAACAACCAAGCTCAGAGAGCACCCAGTACTCCACAATTTAGCAACTCTGTCACATCTCAAGTATGTTGCTATGGAAAGCTACAGTACATAGATAGGGACTTAGGTTTTGAAGAGACACCCACCCACCCCCTTTCTGGCAGATGAAGCTGCATTTAGATAAAAATCGTTTCAAGGTTTCAAGGTGCTGGTGCTCATCTATAAAGCCCTACATGGCTTAGGCCCGGGGTATCTGCAGGATCATCTCCTGCCATCCTCCCATCGTCCGGTGCGCTCTCACAGAGCGGGCCTCCTCAGGGTGCCATCAGCCAGACAATGTTGGCTGGTGGCCCCCAGGGGGAGAGCGTTCTCTGTGGGAGCGCCGACCCTCGGGAATGGGCTGCCCACCGGCCTCAGGACAGCCCCTGACCTCCTCTCCTTCTGCCGCGAATTGAAGATGTGGCTTTTTCACCAAATGGGCTGAATCCGTCAGGGTGATTTTTTAAATAATTTTAATTAAATTTTTAATTAATTTTAACTAATTTTAAATTGATTTGTTGTTTATGTAATTTTTCTTCCTTCTTGTAAGCCGCCCTGAATCCTTCGGGAGAAGGGCGGCATATAAATTGCATAAATAAATAAAATAAATAAATAAAGTCATAAGCTCAGTGTCTTCTCTAATGGCAAAGGTAATTTTCTTTTTTTTAATTTGATTTATATGCCGCCCTTCTCCGGAGACTCAGGGCGGCTTACAATGCGTTAAGCAATAGCCTTCATACTTTTGTATATTTATACAAAGTCAGCTTATTGCCCCCACAAACTGGGTCCTCATTTCACCTACCTTAGAAAGGATGGAAGGCTGAGTCAACCTTGAGCCTTGGAGAGATTCGAACCAGCAGTAAATTGCAGGCAGCTGTGTTAATAACAGGGTGCGTAGACCACTGTACTATCAAGGCTCTTTTTTGAAATGAAATACATGTAGCCAGGGATTCAAGAAAAGGCTTGTCCAAAGAATAATTTTCCAAGGAATACTTTCTAAGTGGTGAAACAATTATTCTGGGGGCCAGCCACCAAAGATCGTATTATCGAGATCTTATAAAATATTAAACAGAAGTATTGTTGTTTTGCTACATTATTGTTTGTTCCTCCTTTCCTGCCTGCCCCAAAGATCTGGTTTATAGATTGCAATTTGCATTATTTAAAACAATCACCTTTAATCAGGAAAGGTAGCTTATTTACACTTCCTTCTAGACAGAGATGGGATTCACTTACCTTCCCTACTGGTTTGCTAATGTGAGTGCGAGCTCGCACGCGCCACCTTTCACACATGTTCAACCTTCTGGGCATGCTCTTTGCTCGCGCATGCGCCTCCTGAGCATGTGCACAGCCTCTAAAACGTAGCTAAATAGGATGGCATTACGTCCAGGTGGGTTGGGTGGGGTCTACTGTAGTTAGTGCTACTGGTTCGTTCGAACCGGACAGAACCAGCTGAATCCCACCACTGGTTCTAGAGCATATCTACAAGAGCAGTTCATGTCACAGAATCTGGGGACTAAAAAAAGGAGGACAAGCAATGTCTGGTAAATTATTCAAAAATGATACATGAATCCTACTCGGATTTTCCAATGCAGCTTTACTCATGATTTGTACCAAGGGAATAGATGCACAGTTTATGCAGCATCACCCTTCTTGCAATTTCATACAATTATTCTCTTCCACTTCATTTTTTTTTTTTTAAATTGCATTGAGATGAAGAAAGTGTTGTTGAATTGTATTGCTGAATTGCCATTGTGTTTCTTTTTACTGGGTATGTTTTATATATTTTTCCTAAGTAAGCCTTTGAGAGTCATTTTGACTGTGGCGGCATAGAAATATATCTAATAAATGTGCCTGGGAGAACAGATCTCAGGTCATTTTATGAATAAAAAAAAATGATAAAAAAATAGGCACGTTTGCTAATCTTCTATCTGTATATTTCACTTTTATACCAAAATGTCTTTGTTTTTAGAAACCTTAGTCCCCAAATAAATTATCTTAATTATTAAGAGCATAATTATCTAACTACACTTCAGAGTAATGATAAATATTGGATACATACAGAATATACTACCTGATGAATCTGTGTTAACCACTGTACAAGGAATATATATGGGGAATTTCTGTGTGAAGATATGGGCTCTACTGCTGAGTAAATACTCTTCTAAATATCATGTTTCTCAGAAAATACGACCCAGTCTTATTTCCTTTTAGACTTGAAAATCAGCACTTGGGCTTATTTTCGAGGCGGTCTTACTTTTTTTGAGGTGCAGCAGGCCAGACTTGGTGAGCTGGATGCGCCATGGACACGCCATCACCTCCATTATGAACCTTCAGTGTTTGGAATGGAGGCTTTTTGGCGAACGGGAGGAAAATGGGGAGGGGGATTTTCCTGCCTGTTATCCTTCCCTCAGCCTGTGCTGTGAGGAATAGTTGACAGGCAGGAAAACCACCCTCTCCATTGTCCTCCCATGAGCCTCCCAAAAAGAGGGAAAAAGCAAAGCAGCTGGCCGCGGAGCTGCCGGCTTCGGAGAAGCGGCCCAACAAGCAGAAGCGCTGCACCCAGAGAGAGAATGGCAAAAGCGGTATTTGTGCTGTCCCAAAGGGCCGGCAGGCTGCAGCTGCAGCCGGCAGTTGCCCCCCACCCCCATGTCCGCACCACCACTCGTGCTGGCCATGCCCAGGGCTTATTTTCAGAGTAGGGATAATATTAGGCCCACCCCCCAAAAAAATTAGGGTTGGGCTTATTATTGGGGTGGGTCGTGTTTTTGGAGAAACATGATATTTATCCCAATCCAGAAGTAGGTAGTACAGGGAGTAAAGCAAAAGACACACTGTGGAGTCTTTTCCGCTTTTAAAAATGATTTAAGAAAGGAATGCATTTTAGGTAAATAAGAAGTAATTTGAATTGGCTGCTTCCAGGAAGTGTTTTACAACTTTGCAATCTAGCCTACAGCCCTGGTATTTCTAAAAGCTCCAAGCATTAGACCCGGCTTAGCTTTCTGAGACTATGGAAGAAACATAGTAAATATAACAAAAGTCACCAAAGATAGTGAACAAAAGAGCAGTCTGCTTCTCCTTTTTCAGATGAGTTCCGTGTGGCTTCAGAGGAAACATGGAAGGCAGGAAGAAACTAGATGCAGTGAAGGATTAGAAGGTGGAGCTACATCAGAAGTCTAACTCTTCTTTACTTTTAGTTACGGCCAATAAAGGATTCTAATTCCTAATGCCTTTTTTTAAAAAGAGTAGTGAAATCCTATGAAACTCACATACACTTTCCAGATATACCAAGCTGCACCTTTACATATGCAACATATTTGCTTCCAAAGAGTTATGGCGCCCAAGAGTAAAACAATGACACCTGAATTTGGAACCTCAGCAACTACTTACCAGAGAGTTGGACTAGAAGGTCATCAATGGAGACCTATGGAGATTCTCAATCATCCAGGCCATAGTTGTCCCAAAAGTGCTTTTCCAAAAGGCTAGTGGACTTCCTTGTTGTTGTTTTTTTCTTTGAAAATGTTTCGCTTCTCATCCAAGAAGCTTCATCAGTTAAGAGTTAGAACCGAAGAAGCTTCCTGGATGAGAAGCAAAACATTTTCAAAGAAACAAACCAAGGAAGTCCAGTTGTCTTTTGGAAAAGCCCTTTTGGGACAACCATGACCTGGACGATTGAGAATCTCCATAGACAGACCTTGATGAGCTTCTAGTCCAGGGGTGGGTTCTACTTACCTTTACTACCGGTTCACAACAGGAGTGTGCATGTGCAGAAGCTTCTGCGCATGCACAGATCGTCAATTATGACATCCAGGCGGGTGGGTGGAGCCTCCCGCCACTTTTACTACCGGTTCTAAAGAACCGGACAGAACCGGGATCAACCCACCACTGTTCTAGTCCAAATCTCTGGTAAGTAATTGCTAAGATTCCAAATTCAGGAGCCATTGTTTTACTCATGGGTGCCATAACTCTTTGGAAGAGAATATGTTTTATATATAAAGGTGCAGATTGGTATATTCCAAGTCCCTTCCAGCCCTATGATACTAATTATTTGTATTTGCATCCTGACTTTTATTCTTAAGCCACTTCGTTAATACAAGCATTTCTCATTCCCAAAAAAGTCCATTAAAACAATTTTTTTTAAAATCACTGAATGACTCCCTCATTGCAAATTTTCTTTTCATCACTCCTTTAAATGATGTCACATCACACACTGTTTATTTCTCCCTATTCACAAACTGCTCCAAGGAATCACATCCATTTTATATGCCCGTATAAAACAAGTTACTCCTTTATGGCATGAGAAGACATTAAACACGTGCACATCTATTCTAAAATGAAATAAATTTGATATTTTCATACTTTACCAGTTATGTCATGCTGTTTGAACGACTCACTGTAGATTTGATACTGACTGGGGCAATGTTTCTTCAACCACTTGCATACATCTTGCTGCGTCCAAAGGGCCACTGGCTTTGTCAGCTTCACAATATGAAACTGGAAATATAAAATAAGTTAAACAAAAGTTAAGCCAATCATTTTGCTTGCACTTTGCATATCCACTTGAATTTTGTACACCATCATCAGCCAGGATGGCCAAACCCTGCAGAGCTAAATTTTCTACTTTGCATGAAAAGGTCAAGGATGAAAGGATTATGATTAATCAGACACTTCTTCATGTGGCTAGCAATTAATAAACCGTAGATATCAGAGAAATTTTAGACTTGGAAGGAAGGTAAAGAAATCTCAAATTCAGTTCAAGTAACAATTTGGGTGATCAGCAAACATCTCAGACTCATCTCTGTGGATTCTCTTTATGCTACAAAGAAAATATGGGATGCTGAAATATCAGCCTTTGGAAAGTTGATCTCAGTAATGTTAATAGTTGTCTATGTAGGAGATGACCAGGCTGAGCCCAAGGGAGGGGTCAAGCACGTCATCAGTTTGGAGTCCCTTCCGCTCATGAGATCTAAATCCAGCCCTCCCTGAATTCTATTGACTCTTATCTACCGCCAATTTCTCCTGACCATTAGTAGTTCAGATTCTTGTTGAGAGCTAGCGTGAAACAAACTTGTACTCGTTTGAACAACCCTGGTTCCTGATTTCTTGTGCCTAATAGTCTTTTCATCCAAGAGTCCTTGGAAACAATAGCTTTGGGGAGATGTCTGTCCATCATTCCCTTTCTGGGGTCTAAAACATTCAGGTTCTTACATGCATGGATCTATCATCAGAGTTGCCCCCATCTGCTTCATGGTACTTGGCAGAATTTGGTTGTCTTTGAGAAAAAGAAGCAGATTGACCTGGGGCTTTTGCCTTTCCCAAACTGGCAAGTAATGGCCTACTAGCAATAGCAATAGCTCTTAGACTTATATACCACTTTACAGTGCTTTACAGTCCTCCCTAAATGGTTTACAGAGTCAGCATATTGCCCCCAACAATCTGGGTCCTCATTTTACTCACCTCGGAAGGATGGAAGTCTTGAGCCTGGTGAAATTTGAACTACCAAATTGCAATCAGCTGGCAGTCAGCAGAAGTAGTCTACAGTACTGCACTTTAACCACTGCACCACCACGGCTCATTCTAGCCCTGCTTTTGTGAAATATTGCTGCTGGGACTGTTGTATCACTAAAGCAATCTTAGCAGAGTTTTAATTCATTGGGAAACTGATTAAAGGTGTAGGAAACCACTGATGAAAGGGAAAGAAATGGTCTTTCCTCTACCCCTCCCCCTTTGAAAAATACCAGACGTTCCCAGATGTGCTGAAAAGTTGTGTAGGATCTTCCTGCTGAGAAAAATGAGGGAGATATGCCCCCTTCTCAGACATACTTTTTTTTTTTAATTTGATTTATATGCCGCCCTTCTCCAGAGACTCAGGGCGGCTTACAATGCGTTAAGCAATAGCCTTCATTCTTTTGTATATTTTATACAAAGTCAGCTTATTGCCCCCACAAACTGGGTCCTCATTTCACCTACCTTAGAAAGGATGGGAGGCTGAGTCAACCTTGAGCCTTGGAGAGATTCGAACCAGCAGAAATTGCAGGCAGCTGTGTTAATGACAGGGTGCACTAAACCACTGTACTATCAAGGCTCTTTCGATACTTGGTATCGGAAATTTGGTTTGCTGTGCAGTAGAGCCTCAGCATTTGGCATGAGTCAGGCACTGGTGGAGTAGATCAGGGGTGTCCAACCTTGGCAACTTTAAGGCCTGTGGGCTTCAACTCCCAGAATTCCCCAGCCAGCCATGGACATCCTTATAGTAGACAATATAGGGCTGTTTAGACAAATACTCTGAATCCATAATGAGGCAGTTTTCTTTTATCCTGACTCAGCAAGAACATAAGTATAAGACAAATGGGTGAAGAAGTCTTGCCTGGAAAGCAGCGAGTAAATTCATCAGGGCACAATAATGAAACAAGAGTAGGGAGTGAGACAGAAAAAAGCAATGAAACCAAAATTATGGAAAGTTGCAGAACCATAAGATTTAAGAAAGAAAGGTTAAAAGTTCAGGAAGCTGGTGGGGAGGGAAGTGATTAGGGAGGAATAAGATTTAAAGGGTTGTTTTTATCTGTCTTTTTGGCAATGCTTCATTGACCAACCTCGTCCCAGATCATCTTAATAAGCTCCTAGCCAATCTTGGTTGATCTTGAAAAGATGAACAGAATCAAGACCCGGTTAATACTAAGGTGGGAGACCATCCAAAAACATTGAGGTTAGTCTGGGAAGTCAAGAAACATTCCTAAAGAGAGCAATTGCAACCCGTTTTTGTAAGGCTGCCATTGAGTTATTGGAGAAACGTCACTTGAATTTGGAAAATCCTGGCTCAAGGATTTCAAGTTGAAGGTCAGAGATTTATAGCCAAGGGATGGTCCTGGCATTCTAGCCATGGCCAAGAACACTGTCGAAGAGCCTGGATTTAAACTTGACTCCAGAGTGCTTTTACCTAATCTCAGATCACAAAAGATTATTAAAAACGAGTGCCAGTATGTAAATTTGTGCGTAGAAATGGACCGGCAGCCAGCACAATTGTGTAAGAATACTAAAAAGGTTCCAATGAGCGCTTAGGGGGAAAGTAGGGAACCATGCCAAAGGACTAAATATGCATTCATGTTTACAAGTCTATTTGGGCTGGATTAAGTATTTTGTAGATTAAACCCATGGAGCAATTAAGCTGCTCTACAACATCATTATTAAGAGTCCATACAGCACTTCCTGTTTCTTCTTTATTCAGCCTGATTAGGTGGCTCAGTGGCTAAGACACTGAGCTTGTCGATTAGAAAGGTCGGCAGTTCGGTGGTTCAAATACCTGGTACATGTCTCCTACATAAGCAGGGAGTTGGACTAGATGACCTCCAAGGTCCCTTCCAACTCTGTTACTATTTACCATTCTTCTTTCCTACGTGTAGCAGTTAGAAGAACAAACTTCCTACTTTGAAAGGGAAGCCAAGATTCATAATGATGCGCCATTCCCCCCAGACCGTTTTAAGAAATCATCTCTTTACAAAACAGAGCCACACCTTCCTACGAAGCTGTGGCCAGATGATATGAATTATTGCTGCATTAAACAGCGGGAAGAGGGTGGTAACTGAATATGTAACTGAAGTTGCCAACACATGCAGATTTAATAGTGGAAGAACTCATCCAAACAGCCTGATTTCCACAGCATGAAAACACCCAATTCACATTTGCAAAGAACATGTCCTCATAACAATGCCTCCACCTCATAAGCAATTCATTATTTAGGCAGTATAAACCTGGTTCAAAATACCAAAGATGGTATTTTCCCAGTTGATACAACTAGAGACCTGACATGTGGACATTCTAAGCCACACGCAAGAGTTGTCTTGGGTGGTTAGAGATGGGCAGGACTCCAACAGGCCCACAGTAGGATTGTCTATTCCAGTGGTGGGATTCAAAATTTTTTACTACCGGTTCTGTGGGTGTGGCTTGGTGGGCATGGCATGGCTTGGTGGGTGTGGCAGGGAAGGATACTGTAAAATCTCCATTCTCATCCCACTCCAGGGGAAAGATAGATTTATTTATTTATTTATTTATTTATTTATTTATTTATTTATTTATTTATTTATTTATTTATTTTATTAGGCTTATATGCCGCCCTATCTCCAACAGATTCAGGGCGGCTCACAACAATAAAACCACAATAATCCATCATGCAAAGTTAAAATGCCTAATTAGATCAAATACTATTAAAAACCCGTAAAAAACAACCCCATCAGTCCAGGCCGGGGGACTCGAATACCCAAGTTTTTAATTCGCGGCGAAAGGTGCAAAGGTCAGGGGCCAGCCGAAGCCACAAGGGGAGTTGATTCCAGAGGGTGGGTGCGCCCACAGAGAAGGCTCTAGATACTCTAGATACTGTAAAATCTCCATTCCCACCCCACTCCAGGAGAAGGATACTGTAAAATCTCCATTCCCTCCTCACTCCAGGAGGTTACTGCAAAATCCCCATTTTCTCCCGATCAGCTGGGATTCGGGAGGCAGAGAATAGATGGGGGCAGGGCCAACTAAAGGTGGTATTTACTACAAACTACTCAAAATTTCCACTACCAGTTCTCCAGAACTGGTCAGAATCTGCTGAATACCACCTCTGATCTACTCCCATTTACCTCCAAAATAACAAATTTTGCTGCAGCTGCCCTACTATCTTTTCCTGTTGTCCTACGATCTTCTTTTCCAACAAGGAAATGCTTTGTAGCCACTTGTAGGCAATTAGAGAAGGCAACAGTTACCACATGACAGATCCCCATCTCTTCTAGCCTACAAAAAAAAAAAAAAGCAGCCTTAAAATCTGGAGATTCCAAAGACTTGAGTATGGAAGATGGAAGAGAGGATCTGAACAGTCTGCTCCCTGGCAGTGACCCAAAAGTGCCCCCATTGAGTCCACTGGATTCCCTGACCCAAGGCTGAAATCTCAGTGGGGAAAAAAAACAAGCCAAGTCAAACCTGTCACCCTGCCCTTGCTTTGTAAAGAAACCAAGATGGGTAACACAGACATTTTCAACTTCTGGGGGTTTAAATGCAAGCCTGGGTTCAATTCTGGGCTAGGATCAATTTTGCTCCAACTAGTCTCCTAAATGAGAACCAGTTTGATGTAGTTTTTAAGGCACTGAGTTAAAAACTGGGGGACTGTGAATTCTAGTTCTGCCATAGGGACAAAGCCAGCTGGGTGACCTTGGGCCAGTTCTCTCTCAAGCCCAAGAAAGGAGAGAATAGAATAGAATAGAATAGAATAGAATAGAATAGAATAGAATAGAATAGAATAGAATAGAATAGAATAGAATTCTTTATTGGCCAAGTGTGGTTGGACACACAAGGAATTTGTCTTTGGTGCATATGCTCTCAGTGTACATAAAAGAAAAGATACGTTCATCAAGAATTATAAGGTACAACACTTAATGATTGTCATAGGGTAGAAATAAGCAATCAGGAAACAATCAAAATCAATATAAATCATAAGGATACAAGCAACAAAGTTACAG